TCATATTCTGGAGGTAGGGCTATACCCCATGGGGAAGATGAGACATGTTTCCGAGTAACCATATTGGCCTGGTGTCCACAGGAACCTGGAGAATCAGTGCCCTGGGGTTTGAAGTAAAATCGGTTCCGCAGGACCTTGGTGACCTCAGTCTCAGGCTGCATCCTCAGCAATGCGGGTAGTGGGAATGGACAGGGAGCTAGGAGAAGGGCATGGTCATATTTCTATATAGGTTTGGCCAAATTCCAGTTGGCTGACCTCCTGGCCATCAAGGCCAGGACTCTTGCATTGTTATTCACTGCCCGCTAGAGCCTCGATTGAAGCTTTATTTAGTTCTGGATTTAGTTGTTGTAAAATGTGGGGATACTTTCCCCTTTAAGTAGGATATTATAATTCTGCACTGGCTTCTCTTGAAGTTGATCTTTTGTAGGCTGCCATATTTAAAGGAAAGAGAAAGAAAAACCGAATAAATAATCGCACTGTGCTTGATAGCTAGGTGTCAGAGATGGATAGGGGACGATAAGGGCCTATTCCTGGTGACTTATTCCTGGTATGAAATTTATCAGGATGGGGAGGAAAGCCTTGGAGTGAATGTTTAATCAGAGGAAGCAGTGACCGATGGGCAGACTCATTATGTCCACCTTCTGTAGTGTGATCCTAGGATCATGAGGAAAACAGTGCCTTTGTCTGCCCCTCTTAACGTTTTTTAATTTTTAAATGCATTAAAATTCTTTTTAAATAAGTGAAGAGTTCTGAAGGTTTTTTAATAACTGACTTGACTAAAAGTTGGATTGAGAACGTCATTTTTTTTCTGGAAAATTTCCCCAGCCTTTGAAGTACTCCCAACTATATTCTCCCTTCAGAGAGAAAATGGTTGTTTTGAAAGTTGCCTTTTAAGCAGCAACGCTGTTTTTTCTCTGCAGAGAGCTGCTCTTGTGCACTTCAAAAGCAGAGCGTGTCAGCCTTCCCCACCCTGTTTCTCCCCTTTGAAGTAAGTGTGGGGGCAGCCGCTGTTTCTTGATCACACTCTCTGGCATTTCCATAGCACTTTACAGTTTTCAAAGCTCTTACACAGCCATTATCTTATTTGATCCTCATGACAACCCCTGAGGTAGGAAGGGCAGGTAGGGATATTTATCCCCATTTCACAGATGAGAAATCTGGGGCCCAGAAAGTTGGAGATTAGTCCCAAGGTGGCAGGGCCCCCAAAGTAGAGGAGCTTTTGATGGCGACTCAAATTACACCACCTTGTTCCACTGATGGTTGGAGAACTAGGGATGGAGGAATTGGAGTAAATGCGATAGTTGATGTTGGCTCTGCCCAGTGTACCAGTGACACCTGCTCTCTCGGGCTCTCTGCTTGCAGTTCTGGAGATTGTGTTAGGGATAGACCTACATTAAAATCTCTCCTTCCACAATGGAGGAAAAGACAATCAGAAATAAAGCTGAGCATTGACAAATCTTGTTCTCTGCCTTCAAGCTTCTCAAATTCTGGCAACTGTGGTCACTTGTCTCCTCACCTCTGAACCCAGGCCAGGCCAGGCCTGATATTCCTGGAGCAGGAATATTAAATACTTTTTATCATCACCCTGGCTCAGAAGCCACAAGTCCATGGTGATATCATCTTTTAATGACTAAACTTCAGCTTATTTTGAATGCTTTCTAGTACATTATTAATTTTTGTCCAAGGCTTAATCCATATGTCTAGGTCAGAATTCAAGTTTGCCCAGCAAGCAGTTATCTCCTCTTTCTGTACATGCAGTCACAAAAGTTTACGGAAATTTCCTTTAGTATAGACTTGTCATGCTCGAGACACTCCAATTATTCATTTCATTGACTGGTTCATCCAATAAGCACCTTGCAGTAGTTGCCTATGAGACCTTGGAAGAGAAATGATGGGGTGCAATGCAAAAAGAAATAAAGATGCTTTGGGGTAGAGGATCCAAGATGGAAGGAGCTTAGGGACTGTGATCAACTCAGTCCAGAATCAGAAATCAGAGAAAGCTTCCTGATTCAGGCAAGACCTGATCTGGCTGCAGAAGTGTGATAGGTACAAGCCAGACAAAAGGAGAAGGTCCAGGGGGGAGTAGAAGGGGTAGGGTGAGGACCTTAAAGGAAGAAGAAAAATGTCAAAAAGTGAAAGGAGGGTGCAGTGGGGGGCCAGAAGTATCTCGTTGTGACTGTAATGTCGAGTTTGGGGAAAAAGAGTATGAGTCCAGAGTATGAGTCCAGAGTATGAGGGTTTAGTCACAAAGTAACACATTAAGAATCTTGGACTTTGTCCCAAAGGCAATGTGCAGCTTTCATAAGGGTTAAGAAGGATAATGTCAAAATCAGATTTGCGTTTTAGAAAGATCATTCTAGTTTCAGTCTAGAGGATCCAGCACAGATATACAGAGACCTAGGCTTCCCACAGGCCTGCTCAAGATGTCGGCAATGAAAGAGACAGTTGGAACAACAAGCCAGTCCCCCATTTTCCTGAATCCCATCAGCTATGTGTTCTTATTTAGCAAGGTCATCAGAAACCAAAATGCTAGGCCTGGGCTGTTTTGATTCCCTCACAGACATGCCACTGCGGAGCTAGAATTTAATGATTTTCCACTTATGTAAGAACCATTCATCTGGAAAAGTGCCCTGGTTTTTGTCAAGTTGAAGTTAAAGACATTGTCCATCAAGTAATCAATATCTTTTATTTGAAGAGCCTTCCTTTTAGAACTTTGTTTTTTTCAGCATCAAGAAAGACAACATGACTTTCCTATATGTAACATGAGGGTTGTGTGATTACTTTTCTCGACTGTTGGGAAGATGGACTATAACCACAAATGTAAAGATCCTTGAATTCACTTAGGTATTAAATAAGCATCCGTGTATTTCCATGATTTACACATAACCTTCAATTTTAGGAGATGGTGGATAGATATGGGCATTGATCCAGGTACCAGATTTCAGCACAAATCCTGGCTCTATCACTTTTGATAGCTGAGATTGCAGGTTAAGTATTTAATTTTTATGAACCTCTGCTTTCTTATCCCTAAATCTTGGAAACTAACATTCACCCCACCGAGTTACTGGGAGGAGAGAATGAAATAGTAGATGGGAATTGCTTGCCACATTGTAGGTGCTGAATGAATATTGATGCCTTCTTTTTTCTGCAAACAAACTTGTGAGCTTAGTTTCATCACAATGTGAGGACTCATATAAGTCAGCTTGTTTCTCTTTTCTTCTTCACTGTCAGGAAGCACAGAGTTAGCACAGGCTCAGTTACAGGCTCCTGCCAGCATCTATTCTTATGTTTCCCATTTTTCAGATTTCTGTCCTTATTTTGTAACATTCTACTTTGTATGTGTTTATGTTTTAGAACTACCTCTAATACTCTTGATGTTGGCACATTTAAATCCATAGTAGGCTTGTTAGATAAATTCATTTGGATATCAGCATCATATTAATTAGAGACCCAGCTCCTAAATTTGATTCTTCTGTGGAGAATTGACCTATGCTCTAGCCTTAGCCATAAATGCAATTATTGGAGAACCAGTAGATGGTCACTATCTCATAAGTAGATACTGCTGTTTGGTGACAGTTCTCTAAAGCAATGTGTTGAGTAGATGACAAAAACATCCATTAATCCAACAAAAAGGGAGTGAATGCTGATAAAATAGAAATGTTCTGCGATAATTCTGGTTTCAGGCAAAGTTTGATGGGGGCTCAAACAATGTCACCAAGTCTGGATTGTCTCAGCTTTGCTCTCTTTCATGTGTTAACTGTATACTGAGACTCAAGTTCCGGCAAGATACTGGTAGTAGCTCCATCTTTTCAAGATCAGCCCTAAGTTCTTCTCTGCCTTTGTTCCAGAATTCTTAAGAAAGTCTTCATGTACCTCATTCACTTTGACTGAAATTTGTTATATTGCGTCGTTGTCCTTTCTCATTGTGATCAATGTGATATGATATCCTGATTGGCTTAAATCCTAAGGCAAACTTCTGGATCTGGAGATGGGTCAGTTTATCTAATTTGCTTAAACTGAGAATGAGGCAAGAGTGGGCTTCAGAAAAAATTAATAGTTTTGATTTTTTTCCAGGGAAAGTGAATGAAGAAGAGGAAAAGTGGGAAGTTTCTTTTGGTTTTTCACTTTTCCTCATCTTTCGTCCAAAGACAACAAAAGTTTGGTTCCAGTCCCAGTTCTCTTTACCCTTCCAGAACCATCCTTGCCTGAGTTGTTGTCTCCAGTTCTTCACCCTCATTCTTTCTAAACAAATATCTATTCTATCTAAAAAACAAACAAATATTTAGATTACATGTTCCAGAGGACAGGTGCAATGTCTGTGCCAGAGAAAATAGCTGATATACAAAAATAGCTGCAAGATTTTCCTAATTTAAATAAGCAGAAATCTGGAAAAATCATCTGGGAATGATTTATAAACTGACAGAGCATCATTTCTATAACAGTGGGTCGTCTGTAACAGTGGCTGAAGTTGAATTTATCTATATGGTTCTTGGTTAGTTGACTGAAACCTGAATTTAGCGATGTTGAGATGCTCAAACTTCCTTTGAATAACGTAGAAGAAAGAACCTAAATGCTTCAGAAAATTAGAAGTAGATTTACTCTGTGCAGTCTTCATATTTACTCAGTCCCTTCAAATTCAGTGGAAGGATCCAGGTTTCACTTCCTTAATTAAAGTATTGAGGTGAGCATGAGCATAGGAACTCCAGAAATCCCAGACAGTTCCCTCATAACCATCTGTAGGCTGGGAGGTGCCGCCACTGAGATGGTTCCCTGATTTCAAAGAGGTTGATAGGATTCCAAAACAGCAGAAGTCAAGGGATAGTGCCAAATTCCCAGATACAAGGTGGACAAAATTACCATAGTGCATAGGAGGAAGTGGTCATCATCATCTGTATGGTTTTAACCTGTAGAAATATTTGGTAGTGTTTTGTTGATCACAATGTCCCTAGGAATGAAATAGATGGGCAGCCTATTAAAATGTTATTTAATTTCTATAACAGGAAAAACTACAGTCTGGTGAGCAGATACATGGACAGACATATCTAAATGAAGAATCCAGGGCCTCCCCTGGTGGCGCAGGCAGTTGAGCACAGTACTGTGAAGCTGTCTGCAGCCTCTGCAGCGTGGGTTCGATCCCAGCCGGCCAGCAAGGGTCCCATATGGCGTGACAGACCTCTCCTGCCGCACCCGCTGCTCCCCTCAGCAGTGTGTTTCGTCAGTCTGCCTGTTCTGTTCTCTGCTCTGTCTCTGGTGAATCCTCTCACCCTCGTGCGCCTCTGGCCTGTACTCTGGTTCTTGTATAAATAAATAAATCTTAAAAAAAAAAATAAGTAAATGAAGAATCCAGGTGTCCCACCCAGTTTCAAAGACTAAGTCAGTTCACAGACCCAGACCACCCTAATTGCAGGGGAAACTGAGATCTTCTGAAATAGGCCCTTACAGCACCAATTCTGCATGTCCTCCACACATTCTCCAAAGGGATATGAAGCCATCTACTAAGATGATTGCACTCAGGCTAATGGGAAAATATTGAGACATTTCAAGAATTGCTAAGCATGGCTGTAGCGTAATGTCAATACTTAAGGATATAAAATGCCACAGTGATTTGCAGGCAGAGGGCAAGCTCGTGGAGGGTAAGTGATAAATTGGGCCTGGCTTTATCTCATAGTAATCTGGTCCTCTATATTCTCCTTGGGTTTATTTTTCCTGGTTCTTTACACATAATTAGAACAGCCCTACTCAGCAACTAGTATAACACCTACATTGTTTCCCGATCTAAGAAAGGAGGACTTTTATGGTATAAAAGTCCAAGTAGAAAGATCCTACTGGAATAGTAAGCCAAAAATAAAACCTTATCTCAGGGAAACTGCAAAGAGTAGTGTCACCATTGAAGTCTTGAAAGATGCAGGTGAAGCCATTATGCACACATCCCCTTGAATTTTGTCCTCTAGGTTTGTTCAGATGGTGATAAGATCTTGGAGAATGACTGAATATGTGAATTTAATCATGTGTTAATGTCAATTACAGTTGCTGTTCCAGATGTGAATCTCTCCTGGTGCAAATCTACTCAATCCCTGGAAATTTTTACATAGCTACTTGTATAGCAAATGCTTTGAGCACAATATCAATTTACACAGATTATAACAGTGGCTTTCTTTCACCTGGTGAGGGACACAGTATGCCTTCATTGTTTTCCTCAGGCTAAGTTGTCCCTCCCACTCTTCGCTATATTCTAACCTAGAGATGCTAATCAACTTGACGTTCCACACTGTTAGTCATGAAAATCATGAAGCATCAAGTACCTTAGGAGGTTTAGTAAGATACGGTAGTGCCAGAGGACCAGAGATAAATCCTATATATTTCATGGGCCTACAGCCTCAGGGATATGACTAGAGTTCTTAGGATCTAGATTACATTGGACATGAATTTCAGTGTGAAGGACTAGTATCTGTATCTTGTGCCACATACCACTAAGAAGATGGGACAGTTTTTCAGACATCTTGGGATTTTGGAACATATACTATGCCTGAGTGTGATGTTCTGATCCATTTTTCAAGCAAAATAAAAGTTTTGAGTAGGTCTCAGAGAAAGAGAAGTCTCTGAAGGAAGTCCAGTCTTCAGGGCAAGATTCTCTGTTACTTAGTCCCTTTGAGCTAGGAGATCCAATGCCAAATGAAGTTTCTTAAGTTTTAGGTGTCCTTTGGCAAGACTTACATGGAATGCCTTAGGGTGCTGGAGAGAAACTTATCTCTCTTCTTTTGAGAAAAAGCTCCATGATTGCTGTATGGTTCTGGTAGTAACTGAACATCTGACCATGGGACTCCCAGTGATCTGAGCTGTTCTTCATAAACTGAGTATTATTGGCCCCTTTAAGCATGCTAAGAAGCAATTCACTATCAAGTGAAAATATACACAGTGCAAATAATCAACTCAAGCAGGCCCTTCAGGACCAATAAGTTGAATTTACCAGCGACTCAGATTCCTGTAGCCCATAGTACAGCTGCACTGCCTCCTCTCCCTTGAGTCACATTTGTGGCATCATGAGAAGTTGCCTATTAACAATTGGCCCCCTTGACCCACAAAAAAATTAGCGCCTAGTTTATGGATAATTCTGCATGATGTCCTGGCACCCACAAGAGGGAGAACTACGATTTTACTGTCTAGTTAGTTCATAGGATTGTTCTACAAAATCGTCTGGCTCATAGCTTCATAATCCTCCTTCTTGTTCAGAGTTGTGTCCACAATGGTTCTGCTTTTTCCTCCTCACCATCTTTAGTGGGGTGACTTATACTGTACTGTATAGCGGATGGCTGTGCTTCCAGACATCATTCATAGTCAGTGCAGCAAAGAGTGATAAAAGAAATGCCAGTTGGCTTTCCCATTAATCAATAAAACAACCTTCCAGAAAACTTCTGTTTAAGTCTCCTTGGCAGTGACTGTGTAGTGTGACCACTTTGAGCTGTGGCAGAGGATGGAAAAATATTTAACCCTTGCTATTCTGCAATGAAAAATGGCAAGGGAGAAGGGAGTTGGGAATGGCTGGATCCAACCAGCAGTGTCTGGCACAGACATTAGCTAGTGATTGGCTATTCCTAGTGACAGCCACTGCTTTGTGAGCCCCCTCTGGGAATGCTACATTATCTTTATGCAGTAGATGCTGGTCATCCTTTCTGTTTATTCAGCAGACAAAAACAGATTCAAATCATCTAAAAACTATCAGAGTGGTACAAGGCACAGATACTTTTTATGTCACTGGTGATTTTGTGAGACAGAAGGGAATTCCTTACTGCCTGATTCTTGCATTAAAGTCTTTGAAAGAGAGTTAAATAGGCTTGAGTCAATAATGAGGTTGTACAATTTGAGCCAAGTTTGATTTCTGTCTGTAGTGTAAGGAGTTGATGACACAATCAATGCATGTTTCCTGGTCCTAGGTTATCTTTACTTGCATTTCCAATTAAAGAAACCCACTTCAAGATATATTTCAGATTGAAGAACCTAGGCCTATAGTTTATCTAAAACACAGCTGGCACCAACTCTGAGAATCCATCGATGGGTTGATGTATCAAAAATTTGGGGAAGCCAGAGATGACCCTCTTTACGTTCATTAAAAGACATGGAGGCTGGGCCTCCCCTGGTGGTGCAGCAGTTGAGTGCTGGGCTGCGAAGCTGCCCACAGCCTCTGCAGCGCTGGTTCCATCCCAGGCCACTGGTGAGGGTCCCACATGGCGCGACAGACCTCTCCTGCCGTGCTCGCTTCTCCCCTCAGCAGTGTATTTTGTCAGTCTGCCTGTTCTGTTCCCCATTCTGGCTCTGGTGAATTCTCTCACCCTCCCGTACTTCTGACTGTACCCAGTGCTTGTATAAATAAATAAATAAATCTTAAAATAAATAAATAAATAATAAAAGACATGGTGGCAGATTATTTGGACTAAAGTATTGTAAATACCAGAATCGAAAATCTAGGGCAGCTTTAAAGTAATCCTAGAATCAGAATTCACCTCAAAACCCTCCTTCTTTGGCTTCAGGCAGTTGTTGAGATGAAGTGTCATCACTGGGAGAATTCTGTTTTCCACTTGTCCTGAGTGTGGTATCACCACAGCTCAAGGAACTACATTTCACTCAGACATCCTACACAACCATTTCTTCAGAGGCCTTGTCATTAGTCACCTTTTTATGTATGGCAATATTTTAGTAATTAAAAAAATTAGGTATAATAATATTCATTTAGAAAAAATGACAAATGCCAGTTTAGTGAATTTTTGTTACCTGAACACATGTATGTAACCTGTACTGAGTTCAAGAAATAAAAGATTATTTGCACTCCAAACCCACCTCTTTGTATTTACCGCATCCTGACAGTACTTCCCCTTCCAATGATATGACTACGCTTTTGACTTTCCCCCTCGCTTTTATTGGGATTTAATTAGCATATAACATTGTATAAGCTTAAGATGCACAATGCAATGAATCAATATATGTATAGACTGTGAAGTAATCACTGTAATAAGTTTGGTTAACATCTCTCCCCTCACAATTACATTTTTTTTTCTTTATGATGATAACTTTTAAGATCTATTCTTTAAACAATTTTCAAATATATAATACTATAACTATACTCACCATACCCTACATTTAATTCCAGGACTTCTTTGTTTTATAATGGGAAGTTTGTTTTGACCCCCTTCAACTATTTCCCCCATTTCTGTTTTCTGTTCCTGTGAGTTTGGTTTTAATTAGATTGTTCATGTAAGTGAGATTATATAGTAATTGTCTTTCTCTGTCTAACTTATTTCACTTTGCATAATGCACTCAAGTTCCAGCCATATTGTTGCAAATGGCAGGCTTTTTTTCCTTTACAGCTGAGTAGCATTTTACTGGGGATTTCCTATGCTATCCTTTCATCAATGTGTACTCTCTTGACTTCAAACAGCACATTTGTGATTCACTTGCTTTTAAAACTTATGTAAGCAGAATCATGAGCAAATAGTGCTTTGTGTCTCATTGCTTTGTGTTTCATTCAATATTATAATGGTGGTATTCATATTGACACATGGCTTTCATTCATTTGTTCATTCAATCTCACTGTTGTGCAATATTCTTTGAATGAATGCACCATTATTACTTCATTCTTCTGTTAATGGTCATCTGGGTAGTTTCAGGTTTTATACTATCAAATAGAGGGTTAATGAATTTATGGGTGTGTTTCTCTTGGATGAAATTGCTTTGTCATAGAATATGCATATGAGCTTTGGTACACACAAGCCACAGCTTCCCAGAATCATCAGTCACTGTTAGTTGGGGGTTATGAACTGGACCTTCCTCTGAAAGCAGTAGGATGCCTGGCTTTTGTAGGGGAAAAAGAACTTCTGATGCAAAGTATAATAAGTTCATGCATTGTCTTACAAGCTCCTCTTTAGACTCCATTTTGCCAGTTTTCCTAAGTTTTTCTTATCTTTAGATGTTTTCTGGAAATTTTAACTTAACTACCCTCTTTAATGCTCAGCTTTGGTACAATCATATGCCTACCCTGTGGTGGGTACTGCTAGAGTTCAACCTATTTTACTCCATTAACTTCAGAGAAAGCCACTGAAGAAGTTTAGCTTCTCTTATATATGAAAATGCCCATGATTGGGAAGGAGAGTTTGGAGCAGTCATGGAGACCCAAGCCAGTCTACTTGCCTATATCTGTCTTGATCTTTCTTCTCAACTTATTCTGATACCTGGCTTTCACAAATTTTCAATTTACTAAAAATGGAAAGATGCATTTCATAACTCTTCTCCCAACC